GGTGGGGTCAGTTTATGATCATTGATATGCAAACTGTCATCAACAACCAGGAGTCCCGGTCACAGAGAGCACACACACACACAGAGCATGTACGATGGTGACAGATGCACCCTTAGGCCCCTCCTCCATTCAGAGGTGGGCTTTCCCTTTTCACCACTAAACAATAAGCAGGACACATGACTGGAGCTAAATTTATTTATTTGGTTTTAGGCATTGAATTTGATGGAGCAAAGAGAAAGGGTGGTGTAAAGCACAGAGCTCAGACAGCTGGAGGTCGCCAACATGCTTCTTTCAGTCGGAGGCTTTTCTCTGAAACACTCCTGAGTTTGAACTAAGAACCTAAATAAAATCCTTCTGCCCTCCAAAACACAAACAGTACCGTTTGCAACAGTTTGTGCTCCAAAGGTTTTCTCTTTGTGTGTATTGTGCATGTTTCTGAAGATATTTCTGTACAAGCACATCACAGGTGAGAAATAAAGCAGTTAGTGTTTGGTTCCATATTGTACCAGTGATGGATTCGCCACACGGACAGGCTGGGCTAAATAAATAATGTAATTATTGATCACAGGGTCAGATGAGACAAATCGCTGGATAACAAAGCTCTGTATGCTTTGGCCCGGGTGAGCCACAGGTAGTACTGACACGGAGCAGAATACAGGGTTAAATACAGTCAAATGTATTGTGTCTCTGTGTTCTTCTGTTATTGTGTCACTAGGACAGTTTATTCTGTGTAGCTGTGAAAGTGAGCGAGTGTTTAATAGGCTCAGAGTCACTGAAGAACACATGTGAAAGTCACAGCATGGTGTCCACCTGCTGCCTGTCTGCTCTGCATTTCCACACCTTTCATGTTGACCGGAGGACAGGCCCTCACCAGGTTAAAGCTCTTTGTAAAAATATAAGAGTAGAATACAAAGGTTTGGGGATGCTGAAGCACTTAGAATTATTAAAGCATTGTTTCTCCCTGGTTCTAGCAGCCAGTCTCTACTTCTCTACATTTTTCTGCCTTTTTGACCTTTTTCCTTCTAGTCGCTGCCTTTGGGCCATGTGTGAGTTTAATGCCTCAAACAACAGAAAGCTCACAACACTTGCTCGAAGGCTATCTCAAAGTAATGTCTAACAAACGTTTCCACGTCACTCTCACATGTATCAGAGGGAGAAAACATCTGAAAGGTCGTTGACTCTAATAACAATAATATTAATAATAATCAAACATTCGTTTTGGCACCGTTTCCTGTCACAGCAGGAAGAACAAAAGAAGCTAACATGTTCCTTTCAAATGGCACTACACACTTCATACTACAAAAACACTTTTTTGGTATCACATTTGTTTCACAGCTTTCATCTGCAACAATGGAAATGAAGAGAAAAGCCTTATTTCTTCTGGTGGTGTGAGCAAACCTTTGACACTCATGGGGTCGACTGGTGAACCTCGAGGGAGGGAAACCATTATCGTTAACGTGTCAGAGTCAAAGCTGGATTTTCCCAGTCGTTCTCGAATCACTGGGATTGCAATGCAAAAGGAAAAAAGTGATAATGTTTGCTTGCAGGACATTGATCGTCCTACGATATGCGTGTTCATTTTGACACAGTAAGAAACTCGTGTGGGTTTCATGACACAGCCTACAATTAAATAATTTCATGCAAAGAGCCAAACTGTAAGTAAGAACAACACAAAATCACAGTTTTCTTCTGTGGCTGCTGATATTCTTCTGAACCGAGAAAGAAGAAGACTTATGAGCTGAAAGCATTTCTTCACACTGCGTCTGCCCTCGAGGTTCAACCGCTGCTGGCTTTTACATATTTGTGCTATTTGGTCACATATTTCTTCAACATATTTGGCAAAAACTCAGCTAAAAAACAATCAGTATTCCTCATGGACATACAAAATTATTCAACATATCTTACATCTTCATATAGAGACATTTAAAAGTTAGAATCAGTGAAATCTGTGTCACTCCGCCTGGAGAGACTCGAACAAAAGCAAGAAAACAAACGATGTTTAAAGCACAGGTGTCCCACTTCCACGAGGAACAATCCAAAACTCAAAGTAAACCTATATTCTATAGTAAGTTTGAAATGAACACAAAGAAAACCATGAAATCTTTATATCTTTGGGTTTCATTCATCTTGGTTTTCATAAAAACTTTTTGGATAGGCGGCCAGTGTGAAACGTGGCGCTCGTCTGTGCATCCGGGCATGTGGCACAGTGAACGTCGGAGTCACTGAAGTCCCAGTTGACCAATTTGGCATCTAGAAAGTCAGCTTGGCAGCGTGGCCTCATCATTTTTTGGATTCAGTTATGCAGATTAACAAAGACAAGCTTCCCGTTTTGCTCGGTGGAGAGAAAAAGAGGACGCCTGGGTTGTTTCATCATGTTGTCCATGACATACTTCCAAATATGTCTTTGGAGGAAAAGCACGAACATCTTCTGATGTCACAAAAATGGAGAAATTCCACCAAAAGCATAAGAAGCTGAGGCTTGATGGAGGCTGAGACTGATGCTGCAGAGCTCCACATGCTCCTGCACAGTTCGGTCTGTGACTCACACCGGTCAGGTGTGCTCACTGACCAGAAGCCTTTACTTTTGGATGAGGTAGACTAGCATTAGCAGGCTCGGGCTAACTATAGAAAAGATGTTCCCATCAGAGTGAGGTAGCTTTCTTTGGAAGTGAGCAGCTTTGGGTGGAAGGAGCTGAGTTAACTGGTTCACACGACTCTTCCTAATGGCTTGTAATAGAAAATAGTTTCTCATCACACCGTCACCTCTGGAAGGTGTTCACAAAGGCCGCTATGTTTCTTCTTTTCCTTACTGTAGAGGAATAAAAGGCAAAGTCAAGAGTTTGTCACCACAGAGTGACGAGACCGTCTCCGTCAGGGTCGAGTTTTTGGCTTCATGCGAGGTTTAAAGTCCACATCATCACGTGTCAGTTTATCAGTGGCGATCTGAGAGGTAGAATATTTTGGTTTACGCCTTCCACTGAAAAAGTAACAGAAATGTTTGTGGTGCGAGACAGGACACAATCTGTGGTGACAACGGTTTTCAAAGGCTTTCTTCACGTGCACAGGCACGTGCACAGGCAATAAAGGCAATAAGCTTTGGTTTGAGGGAGGGAGTGGCTACTCTCAGGTTATTAGCAGCAGGTCTGGGGACACTAATGGTATGACTGAGCCTAACAAACCAAAGGTGGTGCTCTTTGGTGGGAGGTTCCTAGTGAATGGCTGACTGCTGGAGGACAGGGCAGGGGTGTGGCTGTTATGACATCACTGACCAGTGTTAGCCAGTGCCTGAAGCGTGCAAACCTGACGAATGTTGATCAATGATAACCTGGCAGACCACCTGCTCACAGGACAGAAGAGCACAACAGGAAGGGGACAGAAGAGGACACGTCACAGATCAGAAGCATGCATGTGCACTGCATCGCTGTGAGGCTGCACAAACAAGTCAGGTTTTCTCTTTGAGAACTAGAATCATTCAACAAAGTCTGGCTAAACCTTCTGTTTAATGTTTGTAACTCTTTTTGCACAAGAAGCTTTTCTCCAAACGTTTTAAGTAGAATGAGAAAAGCTATTGAGCAGATGCTATTTTTTAACTGGATCCATGTGTTTCCATTCTGTGTAAGGATGAAACACCAGCTGCAGTCAGTGTGAAAGCTTCACAGTGGCAGCTGATCTAGTCTGCAGTCACGGTTCCACAGCTGTCTCACGAACTTTACACTTTATTAGGAAACCTCGTGACTTTGAAGAGGGACAAACAACTCCTCTTCATGTCAGCTGAGTTTGGTAGTTAACCTGACTCAGCCGTCTGTGGTGGATGATGGAGTTAAAAGCACTAACATGTGAGCACCTTTAAATGTGTCTTATTATTATTATTATGCATGAGGTAAGATAAAGCGTGTACCTGAGATTCTCCTCTGGGGAGGGCCTCTCCATCTTTAGGGATGCCAGTGTGCACTGGTTGGATCCTCGATGGAGACCAGCTGTCCTGAGTCCCTTTACTGCAAAACAGACTGCAAACCAGGCCCAGCTGTGAGTGCGTATGCTGCACTGAGCTACATGTGATCATCAGTTAACAGGGATGAACTCTATTTATAAAATGAGCCAAAGAAGAACAAGAGAACGTGCACAGTGCATGGATGCATACTTGCGACGGTATCCAAACATGAGGAAGAGAACACAGAAGATGATGCAGGCGGTGCCGATATGGATGCCGATGACAATGCTGCCCAGCGAGGCCTCTCCGTCCCTGCACTGACACAGACGGTCTCCTCCTGGAAACAAACCAAATATTACTGATGAACGTCCTCGTGGCTGAAACACAGCAGAGCCAGGTTCTGCCTCACTATCACTGCGCTCTTTGACAGCACCGTGAGCTCACATGTTTTTCAACTTAACCTGTCATAAATCATAAATCCTCATTTTTTCCTCGTGGTGCATCGTGCTTGTATTCTCATGTAGTTTGTACACATCCATGAATTAGTGCTGCAGGGTTAGTGGTGTCATTAGTTATTAAAGCTCTTTCTACCATTCAAATCTCTCACCAAACCCGCTTTTTTCAGTGTGTTTCCACAAATCGATTTTCATTTACTGATAATCGTTTGCAGTGTCTGCAGGAGCTGTTTGTTGCTGGAGTCGCAGACGTGTGCCGACACTCACCGGTGCTTTGGTCTCTCGCGCCCTCCTCTGCGAGTGACACCAGCCTCTTGGAGCAGTCGCTCTCTCCGTTCCCATTATAGGCAACCAGTTTGATTTCATACACTGCACCCGGTTCTAAAACAGATTCAGACGAGCTCAAACACAACGTTGTATAAAACTGAACAGAGGGAATAAAGGGACTGATGATGGACACAGATGTAAGACAGACAGGGCGGGACATTTTCAAAGGTGAGGACTGCTCAGAGTTTCATTTAATGTTGGATCTGGCTGTTGCTGAGTCGTGTGTTAGTGAAAAGTCTTACTGGTGAAGTGGTTAGTTTGCAGCACTGTGGTTACAGTGTGTCTATGTGCACACTTACCCAGGCTCGACATGGTGTGGGCATTAACGTAACAGGGCAGCTGAATCGGGCTCTGGTACTCAGCGTGGGGGACCCTGCGGTACGACAGCCTGAAGCCCTCGACCATACCGGCCTTAGTGGGAAGTTCCCAGAGGACCTGTACGGCGCTGGAATTTAACACCTTGGTGAAGTAGGTAGGTGGAGCAGGCACTGCATGGAGGCAAAAGGACAGTGGTCAACTGGAAAAAGGCATTACTCACTGTGCTAAAGAAATGATAAAAACCAGTTTGGAAGACTGATCCCTGCTGGTCTCACTGTTTGGTGGTCTTACCGCCCCCTAAAGTAGTCACAGTCACAGTATGGGACTGCTGACTGGCTCCCATGGGCGAGTAGGCCTTCAGGTAAAGAGAGTAGGTGGTGGCTGGCTCCAGGTTGGTAACGTCGTGCTGAAAGTTGCCTTTACTGATGGCTTCCTGCAGCTCCAGACTGTCAGCCTCTAAATAACACACACACACACACACATTATGAGACTTAAGATCATAAGTTAATGGCAGCATGTGTGTGTGTGCTCACACTCACCTCCTATCTTGCGGATGTGCAGCACGTAGCCGATGATGCTCTCAGTGACGTTGGTGGGCGGCTGGTCCCAGCTGATCTGCAGGGCGTGCGTGGACACGGCTTTGGCCGTGAAGCCTCCTGGGGCATCGGGCAGATCCTTACCCTGCGCCACGGCCAGGCGGGCGCTGGCCTGGTTGGTACCGGCACTGTTCTCGGCAATGCACTGGTAGATAGCCTCGTCTTCCGAGCCGATACGGGTCAAAGCCAGAGTGCTGTAAGGACAACATACCCAACGAGTAAGCTGCTGTTACTTCACTGCGTGGGAAATGTGATGGTTCAGCAGTGAAAGCAAGTGTTAAACGTACTGCAGCTCCATCTGCTCTGCATCTAGCTGCTCTCACCTGTCAGTATTACTGTACTACTATATCTCTTGTATCTTCTCCATTGCAGAGTGACCACATGACTGCTAACACTGTGAGAAACACAACTTTGAGTAATGATTCTGTGTCCTGGAAAAATGCTTTAAAATACATTTAGATGAGGATGCAGATGAGCCTGAAGGACTGCACGTCAAAAGGTTCCAGTCAACAATCACAGAGGATTACGTTGGGATTTTACTCCTGGAATCAGTGGTGTTTATGGAAAATGTTGTAGTCTCCTGTGATGTTTCTGACACACTGTGACGGGGCTGAGCTCGGTGAGCGAGGACGGCACTGTCGCCTCACAGAAGGAGATGTTTTTGGTTTGAATGTCTCTGCGTGGAGACGGCACGTGCTCTGTATCTTTATGTGACCTGCTTGGTCGATCTCACTGTGACCGACACACACCGATCACATGAAGACTTCGGGGTCAGACGCTCTGGACACAGCGCTGTCACTCTGTGGGTCAAGTGTTAAAGCTAAAAAGGTTGAAGTATATCACAGATGGCGTTTTTGCACTCCCTGACTCACATACCTGTTGTTATTGGTAAGCTTGATGTTGTGTCCAGGCATCAGGACCTTGCCATTCTTCAGCCAAATGAGATGAGGCTCAGGGACACCCTGCGCCACACAGGTGAACACAGCACTGCCCCCTGCTGGTTTGGATACAGACTGTGGCCACTGCAGGAACTCAGGAGGAGCTGAGGTGGAACAGACGGAGGTGAGACCGAGAGCAGACAGCAAAACAGAATCACAGCGTAAACCTGAAGCACATCCCGTCCACTGTATGAATGCACATCGGACTGCAGAGGAGCATCTGCCAGGCTGAAGAGCGTTTAAAGATCATTCTGCTTCATTACAATCTGGCTCTTATTTTATTAGCCTTAATGCACCGCACAGAAAAATGCTGCAAAAGCACACAAAACCAAAGGGAAGTGTTCGTGGGGAGATGTTAGCGTGACGGAAACCAAAACATGTGAAGGACGGCCTGAGACACCCTTTAGAGAAGCGGACGGTGCTGTGACGATTCAGGTATCACCCTGTCCCTGTGTGTGTGGGGGGGGCATGCCTTACATGCCCAGTTATACTGAATAAACTTTATCAACCACCTGCACAGCTGTATTGACAGATTTACTGTTTGCTTATTGTTTTTCACGCGTTGGCCACTTGTGTGGTGTCCCGTTCCCTCCTGTTAACAGCAAACCTGATGTATGTGCACTAAAACATCACACCTTGCTGTTGTTGCTGTCCTGATACTTTATGCCTTCTACATTGTTAATTATGCTTCCAAGTAATGAGGAACATAACGCACAGGGACACATTTTATTGAAAAATGTTAAGGTTAGTGGAAGCGTATTTTTTACTGCTGCTCTGCTTGTAAATGACTTATTCTGTCTCCTTCTGCCTCTCTGCCCTCCACGCCTACTCCTCCATCCAACTGTTTTCAGAGACATGTGTCCTTATTACTCCGGTCTAGGTCATGGGTCAAAGATCGCAGGTCATTCCCTCCCCCTTGCAACCCCCACCTGCCCCCTGTATTGTTGTCCTGCACGTTTTGTTTCCCCATATGTGGTCTTTGTCCCTGCATCCTGGCCACAGAACAACAGCTGATTTCAGCCGGACGATGGAAAGATTCACACATTTAAACTCCTCAGCTGACTCCACTATCACAAACACTGCAGACGTTTTCCAAAAGTGATTTTAGTGGAAACAGAACAAACTGAATTACAAACTAAATAAATGAATGAATACATCAGAGATGATGTATTGATAAATGATTTAGAGCGATGTGGAGCAGACAGAGCAGCTCAAACTGGCTCCAGTAGTAGCACAGTGAATATTTAACACACTATATTTTAAAATTTGAGAGACAAAAAGGACGTGAATACAAACACTGGTGTTTGAAAATGATACTTGTTAAAGACGAGGCTTCACGGCATGTTTAAACCTTTCTGAGAATACAAACCATCAAGTTTTCATTGTGTGTTAATTTGGGTTTTTTTTTTAATTAAACAACTTAATTGATCCGAAAATAACTGAATTCAGTTTTTTACTTAATTCTACTGATTGACTTTTATTTTCCCAAAGTTTCATTTTCAGCAGCCTGTGACTGAGAACAGCTAATGAGCATCATTAGACTCAGAATATGGACACGTGCAGGGTGATGGATGAAAGCACGTCCACCCCCAACTGCAAGTCAGTCGGCCTCGCTCAGTCCCTCCCCCACCGAAGAGCCGGGGGCACAGACCCCCCCCCTCACGCAGGGACAGGAGCCGTGCTAACTGAACACATCTTAGCTCACATATCTTACAGCTGGTTAACAATAAGTGTGACCACAGGTCTGAGCATTTATCCACATTACCTGTCATGTAAGTGTAACATGTAAACTACTTTCTAAATGCCGATCATAAATCTATCTGTACTGGACACAGACTACCTACTACACAGACACCTGACAGGCACAGTGAAGAAGTGTTGGACAGTCAGCGGTCAGTACTGAGGGGTGGGTGCTAAAGAGCACGTCAGCGGTCCCCGTACATCCTCACCTTGTACCACGAGGCGTCCGAGTGCAGTGCGCCTCATCCTGGTGCCGGGCCGGTTGGCAGCGCACACATACACACCAGAGTGCTGCAGGGATACGTCTGAGATCATCAGGTTCCCTGTCCCGAGAACCTGGATGCCCTCCACCCCAATGGAGCGCCCGTCTGATGGACACACGGACACAGAAATAGTTCATGAAATCAAACCTTTGTGGCTTGTCAATCTTTTTTTCACATTCTGCTGGGATGCTACAGGGCTACCTAGCCTGCTCCAGGAAACAATGGGCCTTGGGTTTCCTGTGGCGATACACTCCAAGATGGCGGTCTGATGGACCGTGATGGTCAGATTCTGAGGTCCTGACAGGATCACGGGCTCCTTGTAGGTTCTTGGAGTCCCACCTGGAAGGTGAGGAGACACAAAAAGAGAGTATGGAACCAATGACGTCGGGACGAGGAGTGTATAGTGTGAGTGTAATACACAGCACGTAGTATACAGCTGTGTTTAGTATATAATGCACTGGTTTTACTCCCAGTGACTGTTGACGTAGCCAATCAGCAGATTCATGTGGAAGTATCACAGGCAGTGTATATGTGATATACGGTAAGGTCCCTACCATCACAGCCACGTGGAGCGGTCAGTGAGTACTTACATAGATGTGGGATTGTCCTTGTGGCTCTAAACTTGCAGCTTTGACATCACTGCATAAACCCTGCAGCACTGTTAACAGTGGAAGCGCCCTGCACACCTCAGATGTTATGAAATGTAGCATTAGAAACATTAGAAACATTAGAAACAACGTCGTGTTTGGGCTGAGGGCTGTTGCTGGGAACGACTCAGGTTGTGGTGACAGTTACATGGACACTCGTGTGATTGGAGTTCTACAGTCTCTGGTTACAGATCAAAGATGTGATCATGTACTCTTGGACTGTGCTCATGCAGGCGCTAACCCCCGCCGCTCATATCCCAGCCGTACTGTAACAGCTTGGGGATCACGAGTCCACCTACCAGTAACATTGAGCGTGGCTTCGTGGCTGTAACGAGTGTTGGCGATGTTGGTGGCAACACAGCGGAAAACCCCTGCATCCGCCTTTCTCACACCTGTCACCTGGAGGATGCCCATTGGTAGGAGAGTGTACCTGGACAGGTAAGAGAAGCTGAGTGAAGCTGAGGCACTAAACATCATTATTAATTACTGTCTTGTCCTATACAATTTCCTATTCTGTCAAATTACAAAAGAGGTGAAAGGAAGAAAAAAGCTCCCCGTCTTTCTTCTTAGAAGGAACGTCATTTATCTTTCCAATGAATTCTGCTTACACATGAACATTAGATGTAATGTGACTCAGGCTAACAGAAAAGCTACCAGAGCAGTTACATGTGGTCCTTTACACCACATATCACAGTCCACGATACATGTGTTGGTGTGTGTTGAGTCTGAGTTTACCTGCTGTCAGTGGTGTTGAGCAGCACTCGGTCTTTTTCCCATGTGATTCTGGCTTCAGGTACTCCATTGATCTGACACTGGAATCGAGCGACTCCTCCCTCGTCCACAGACATTGATGCAGGGTGTGTGTGGAACTTAGGAAGAGCTGGAGAGCCAATCACACAAAGAGAAAAACAGTGCACACAACTGTTGAACATCTGTAAAGTCTGTGGGGAGTCAGGCAGCAGGACATGTGTGGACTGTGTCTGTGATTAGAAATAGCTTTATGATCTATTTAATGGTTTTTCAGCCTTTCTTACTGTAAGACTGACCTTTTCACATGCAGCTTGTATGCTAACCATGTTCCTGTGAGTAATATAAATTTGGTGCCCACACACAACCATGCTGGGCTGCTTTGAAATGGGGCCATAACCAATAAGGCGGAATTCAATAGATATGCCCTGTAAATGAGATAGCATCACCATGGCAACTCCTTGCATTAAAGCAAGACCACCTCAAGATAATAAGCTATAATTCTGCTGGTTTAACCATAAACTCTGTGTTTACTGGTTAGAACAAAGGCGTGAGCTCCAGGAGGAGGAGTGTACACTGATGCACGATGTGTGTGTGTGTGTGTGTGTGTGTGTGTGTGAGTGTGTGTGTGTGTGTGTGCATATGGGACAAAAAAAGTCAAAGTACCTTTGACAGAGAAAGGTCAAAGTGCACTGACTGCAGCAGAGCCTCCGACGTTGACACTGAAATTCTTGGGTTTTCTTTCCTTCTCTGACTGCTTCGCTTTAACTAAGATACATTAAACCAGCACTGCAACAGCTGGGAAATCTAATGTGACGTTGGGTGTCTCAGCATCTTATCAAACACATCAACATTGCTGTGTAACACAACATTAGTGGTCTTAAAAACCTAAATCTGGGTTGCTTTGTTTAACCCGCCAGATCAGAATGCTCCTCCTCAGTGAGCATGCTCAGACCACCCAGCACCACCTTCCTGCACCTAAATGTGTTTTCCTAACATCTCAGCTGCTAAAGCTGTGTGTGTTGCTGAAGTATGTGGAGGTTATAACATTCTTGTCACTTACATGCGAGGTGGACTTTGGCCTTGCGGCTGACGAGCAGGCCGTAACGGTTCTGTGCAGCGCAGTCGTACTCGCCCATGTCTGCATCGCTGCCCTCTCTGCGTTTCTGGAAGCTCTTTATTAGCAGCGTGCCATTCTCTTGTACTCGGACCCGTGGGGTACTGGGTACGGGCGCTCCGTTCTTGCGCCACGTAATTGCGATGGGTTCCTCACCCTGGACCTGACAGTCCAGCATGAGTGGCCGATCCCTCACCGCAATCACGTCCGTGGGTTCTACCAAGAAAGAAAGCTCAGAGGCCCAGCAGCCGCCTGCAGACAGAGGAAAGACAAAGCTTTTACTGTCATTTATTTATTCTGTAAATAAAATGTATTTTAACTATAATTTCCAACCCAATACATATCCTTTGTGGATGTGCTGGGAAGTTTTAGAGGGGCCAAAACATCTTATTTATATTTATACAGACGGTCCTCTGAGGTGGGCTCACTGTAGTGCATTTTTATGACATTGTAACAGGAAGCATAAAAGAAAATAAAGTAAACATAAAGTGAAACTATCTGGATGCTGGTTTAGCTCCGTGTGTGAGCAGGTGATCACCTGCTGTATGGCTGTAAAGCAGCGTCTTTCCCAGTCATCTCTACTTACTATCAAAACAATGTAACTGCTCTGGATGCAGGCTGGCTGGAGGAGAACTGGAGGTCTGATGGTGTCCTATTGTAAACTATCTGAAACAGAGGCTGTCACCACTTCCTGACTCGAATTATAGCTGAATAATATCCAAATGATCACACACACAGCTCTAACTCGATAGATGACAGATGAGGATTTGTGGCCTGTGATGATTTTATTGCAGTCACAGTGGAGGCTGAATGCCACTGAGCTGTGGAGGAGAACACTGGTGGGGTCGCTGGGGTCAAGTTGGGAGACCCTCCATTGAAGCAGGGCCCAGTAGAGACAATGGCATTGTGACCATGCTTATTTGCACCCAACCCCCAGTTATTTCTTCTTGTTGGCCAACACACAACCAGGGCACCATCTGCCCTTCTTATGCTCCCCTCCACCCATCGACTGTCATTCATATCTGTGTCTGAGGTGACTTTCCCATGCTCCCAGATCTCCTTCCTCGCCGTGTCCCGTCTCTGCGGTGACCTCGGGAAACCTCAGTCTTTGTTGTTTTCTTTCAGCCTTCAGAACATTGAACCCTTGCATTGGCCGCCCTCTGTCCGGCTGTGAAGCATTAGCATTAACTGCACTTGAACTTGCAACATATCTCATCATTGTCACCGAGGATTCTCGTAACCGGCTGGACTAAACATGCAATACAACCGGCCACAGTGACAGCCCACACAGCAGCCTGAATTTGAACTTTAGTCTGTTTTGGTATTTAATTGCAGTTCAGTGTGTTTAATTTGTCAGTGTACGTTTATATTCTCACAGATTTTGAGTTTTCATCTAACACAGGTAACATATAAGTGCAGAAAGCTCTTCCTGTCTATCATCATTCAGCAGATATGTCAAAAAGAAGAAGCTGCAGAACTCAAGTCTTTACTCGTTTATTCAACGTGTAACGTCCAGCATCTGCACCTTGTAGTGAGGATGAGTCACAACAGAAACTCGACATCACTAAAACAGAAGACGAAAAGTTCCCAGTGTCCAAGCTCAGACTGTGCGTCCACTGTGGGATCGTGTTTGCGTCACGTCAGCGTGCTTGAATGTAACCTGCAGTGGGAGCATTAACGTGCTGTTGCTAACATGACTGACTCTGTCCCAGGTCACTCAGTCACTCAGTCATGACCTCGGGTCCTGTTCACTGAAGCACAAACATGTCATAGACTGTATCATAACATAGTTTGGTAATATTACATATAAAGTGGACATGTTTGCTGCAGTTCCTCTGCACATGAACAACCCTGTGATGTTACTGGCGTTCAGGTTTTATCAGAGTCAGATTTTAAACCTTCCACGGAGCTGCTGCCCGTCCTCATGATCTCTGTCGCTGCTCTGACTGATGTGCTGAATCCAGAAACGAGCGTCCGCCCTCATGCTAATGACAAATCTCTCCCTCAGCAGATGCTCTTAGCAGATACGACTGTGGCTCTTCGGGTCAGCTGTCTCGGGGGGGTAACAGCCCCTCTGAGATCCACATCTCTCAGGCCTAGTGGGGGCTCGCACCTTCTGTGGGTTTAATTATTGAACACAGTGTCTGAGGCTGTGATATCTAATAGTAAGTATTATAAGCTATGTCTTAATCAGACTGCTGAAGGCCTGTCACAGAAGACCAATGAGGAGTGCCAACAGCACCTGAGAACATGTGTATGAAAGTGATCAGTGTGGGGTCAGCCTTCAGATACCACGACCCACTGTGACAGGACTAAACTTTATCTGAGCCTCGACCAGAAGACGCCTGAGTCTCACACTTTGGTCAAAGCTGAGTTTTGATCTCATCTGTGGGAGAAAAGTCTCCGAACGTTGTCTGTTCGTTTGTTCACAGTCAGTGAGTCATAGACCACAGCGTTTCCACATGCAGTCTCTGTGCTGTCGTCACAGAGACAGTGAAGCGTTTTGGAACAAACCCACTGAGGTGGTGACACCTCCATGTGCTGTTTGTAACCTTTGAAGCATCCGAGTCATCAGCAGCTGTCTAACTTCGTGTGGTCCGGTGTGCACCAGCAGTGTGCACCATCACCAGCAGCTCTTTATGAATATGATGGTAAATAGTGTCCTGTGTTTGTCCAGCAGACTGGTCTCTCCTTTATACCAGAACAGCCTCAGTCTGAGGTGAGCATGCCCCCCCACAGGCATCATCCAGCCCCCTTAATGTCACCTTTGTGTCACATTGTTTCACACTGTACAGTTAACATGAGGTCTTTGTCCGTGTGGACGTGACAGAATATCAAATACAGTAATATTTTGTATAAACTGTTATTAGAAACATGTCCATTGTTGTTATTGAGCTTCATATCAGCAAGAAGCTGGATAAATATCACCTGATCATCTGTCGAGAAGGAAGTGAAACAGGATTCAATAACTCTTTTTTTTCACTCCTCGATACGTAAACCAAGTCACGTGGAGCCAAACGGCCTTTTAATAGCATTTCCTACACGACCTTCTGTATATCGTTTACATTATGAACATAAACTGAACAAAACAAAGAAAAGTAAACACGCTTACATCATCACAAAGAGACGTGAAGCACTGAGCTGACTGAACCAGAGGATTCATATGAGGTGAGCTCTGTGCCCTGAGCGGCCGACACCACAGAAGCAGGACGATGAACTACAAAGACTTTAATAATTATAAGATGAAGGCTGCAGTCAAACTGAGGTCGCAGCATCACAGACTGCTGAGTTCAATCTGTGAACTTAATGAGATTTTTTAAGGGAGGAGGTTGTCCAGCAACCCCCACACTAGCACCCCATACTTGTGACCTCAAGCCCTTCAAGGGCCGCGAGAGTCAGAGGTGCGGAGGATGGATATGTAGATGAGGGTTGGGGGGTTGGTACCCCAGCCTGAGCGACCCACCCGGCCTTCTGCTGCTATTGTTTAACAAGACTGCTGCCCCTGAACTTCACACGTCTCTCACCAGCCCCCCAAAGCCCCTAATTTATAGTACAAACACACAATCAAAGTTTTGCCTCCAAACACTGACAACATGGATTTTACTAGATGTGACTGCAGGGCTTTTAGGAACTGTTCCCCTCAGATGCTAAACATGAACATGCTGAGGCCTTTTTCCTTCATCACAGTGAAGCAGACATAAAATCTACAGTGCACTCCAGCTGTTGTTGTGATTTGGCACTATATAAATACAACTGCATTCAAAGCCTTGAGTTTGTATTTAAACTGTGGTTTTCCAATGTTGTTTAAAATGTGAGGCCAAAAGAGATGTTGGTGGAGTCCATCACTGAGTCAGAGGGCGAGTCTGTGTGAATGACACATGGTGCAGTAAGAGCTTTGAGGGCATATAATTTACCAAACTCAGCAACACCAGAAGACGAGCAGAGGAGACAGCTAGAGTACGATCACAGAGCAATCCACAGTTCAGCAGAACAGCCTCACAACATTTAACCGAGTGAGGATCGGCGTCGACGTCGTGAATCAAAATGTTCTCATATAACCTCAGTGGAGTCCTTAAACTCCACTCAGTGTACGCTTATGTGACATGAAAAGTGTCTAAACCGTACAGTGGATTTCAAAGTTAGCACCAGATTAAATTAACCTGCTGAGGTTACCTATGTGTAGCCTAATCCTGAGGCCTCTGCATCCAAGGGCTCGATTTTTAATAGGAAGTCAATCAATAAGCTTCAGCTTGTAGTCACATTTGATAAGCTTTGTGTTCACACATGAAGGCTGCAGTAAGCTTTGTTTACTCCAACACAACAGTGCTCATCAGACTCAACACGATGATGATGATGATGCACCTCTACAAAATAAATGCATTCTTTGATTTGAAATCAGGAGACTTGAAATACGCAGGAAGCTGAATCTCCTGGTTGTCCTGCTTCGTGTTATAAACTCGACACAAACAGAAATGCAGTGACGTGTTTCAGCTTCAGCAGCTTCATTCACATCTGTGGATATCTTCCAAAATGATTGTGTTTTAGACAGGAAGAGATATTTTACTGTGAAAGGGAGGATTAACTGTATAACAAGAGGTACGTGTCAAGTCCATCGTCTGAGCTGAAAACATCAGCAGCAGATCTGATCCAGGAGCAGCGCGACAGAGACGAGGGACAAAGCTTTTTAAAACCTCATTATGGCCCAATGTCAGGCTTTCAACTGAAGCTGCAATGACGCTGTTTCATGTCATGATGCACAGACACACGACCTGCTGGTAGAAAGAGTTTGTGTGCTCGTTACAAGCAGCTTCTCACACGGCGATGCTGAAGCTGAAAGACGATTTTGCAGCCTTTCATCTGCTGTCTCTGAGACTAAGTGGCACAGCTGTGCTACTGTACTGCATAGAAATATGCAAAACAAGCCAACCAGTAAATGAGACTAACTGGGCCCACGAAGGCGTCCGTGCACGGTGGCAGGGCACGCTGCGGTGCTGTAAACATTAGCCTGAGCTCTCCAGAGATTGAGATGTTAGCATTTGTATGTTTCACTTCAGGAAACAGAGCCACCGCACACCCATTGTTGTGGATTAAACCAGTGGGAGCGTGAGGGGGTGGAGGGCGGAGGAGGATTACCTTATAGTCACATATCTTTAATAAAGGCTCAATGTGAGCGCAGACTGCTGCAGTGTTATGGAGATGAAGGTGTAGGGGTGAGGTCAGTGAAGACTGAGCACTTCTGGAAGGCTATTGTCCTTCTGCACCCCCCACCCCCTCACAGACTGCTCTGGTGACCCAGAAAGCCGACCCCCTCCACAGGGTCAGAGGTCACTGACTCTCAGCTTGTTCTGTGTCTGAGTTAAGGACAGAAATCAAACTGCTTTGAACCTGCTGTGCTTTCCCCAAAAACAACCTTTTTCTGCCTCCAGCTCTGCAGGTTTCTGCATCACGACTAAATATCAATGAAAACTTCATTTTTTCTTTTAGATTTTCAGTTTTATTTGAATGTGTAGAAAAACAGATGTGTGACATGTGTGTGCTGTGAATAGAAAGAGCTGATGTTTGTTAGTGGAATATTAATAATCACACCCAAATTACTCTGCAGAGTGGAGACGAACCCCATTAACCCCACCCCCACCACACCACCCAAACTGATATCCATTCAACGCTGAACCATCAGCATTGAAAATGTGTTGATTGGAGGAAAAGTGGGATAATTTACATCAAATCTGAAACAAGTTTAGTTATATCATCGGTTTATTATCGTCTGACAGGCTCGTGTTCCACAACAATACAGATATTTACTGTATTTATTATAAAGGATATTAATATTGTGATGTTTTATAAAATGCTGTCGATCTTTTGCATTGAGTCACTTCCACACTCACCAGCTTTGAGTGGGATAATCCACCGGTCTGTTTCCACACCGTGTGACTCTCGTGTCCACCTGCAGCCTGTGCAGGTCTTTATGAAACTTAAGGACAAACTAACAGCAGCACTTACCGATGAGCATACTTGTTTATCAAATGACAAAATGTTCTGCCCATTAATCACCATGAAACTGAACTAATATCAGTGTACAAACTCATAGAGCAGCAATCACACCATAATGTGTGAATATGTGCCAGTGCAGGTGAAGAGAGGTCTACTCACTGAAACTGTAGAAGGCTGTGAGCCAGCTGAGGAAGGTCACTAGTTTCATTCTGGTCTCCAGCGTCCTCGCTGTTAAAGCTTCTCACCCCGCGAAACCCCAAAATCCAAAAGAGGAAAAAGTCAAGCGGACAGCCAGTTCCTTCTGTGCTCTCCTGCTCCGTGTGCTCTTTGGTAGCATAAACGGACACGTTCTGTGTCAGATCATTGCTCTTCTTCTGTCCTTCTCAGCATTCAGCCTCCACAAGGTTCATGTTCAAAGCTACTCTGAGCATCGGGCGAGGAAGAGACCTCAGCGTGGACAGAGCTCATTAGTTATTCTGCTTCATTGTTGTCAGTGAATGGACACTGACACCGAGGTTTGTGGCAGGTTTGCGTCCTACCAACCAATCACAGCCCCAGAACAACAGAAGGGTGGTAGCTCAGCCCGGGAGCCGTGATTGATAATCGTTTACAGAGAGCTCTTCTGGTTGGCCGCTGCCTGATGGACCAGCTGTGGCCTGAGCCGGAAACCCCTCGCAGGCTGGCTGGAGTTGTGATCCTGGGATACTTCCACCGGACATAAAGAATCGAGTCGAAAATACTCACAGGATTCACAGGAAATATTGTTCCCATGACGAACATGTTTGTGCAGACTGGAAACTTTTAGCACACGACTTTTTTAATTGGCTGAGCTTTGCTCGAGTCAGGCTACAAACATATTAGGTGAAATGTGACAGTTGTTACTTCGACCTTTACAGTTTTTTTAATTGGTTTGGCGCAGTTTTCACAAGCAATTGGTACATTTTCAAAACTCTTAGTACTTATATCACAACAGATCATCAAAAGTGCACGTTTGTCAAACATTTCAGCATATTTTCAATTGTGTCAGTACAATACACATTATGACAAAATATCCTTTTCACTACACAAAATAAGTGTTTCATCTAAATAAATGTTTTGTTCACAGTTACTGCTTTTCATAATGTTATCACTATCAAATTTTTGATTTGCATCTCTTATTATTCAGTTTAATACATTTGTCTATCATTTAATTCAACTGATCTTAATGTTCGATCAATTAATCATCCATTATGTCCATGGATTTTCAACTTGACTGATTGTTCTCTGGTCATTTGTAAGTTACACATTGCTGCAAGAGCTTTCAATCTAGAAATACTAATTGCTAATTGTTTCCCCCGATGATCACAATTAGTTACCATGTAAGTAGAACTGTGTTTGAGACTTTGCACTGTCCAAATATGGAGCAGGATAGACTCGTAGGGAGAGGAAACCTTCATCGAAGAGGTGGTGGTGCTGCTCCTCGACAGAGAGGTGGACACAGACAAAGAGAAAGAGGTGGTGGTGCTCCTCGACAGAGAGGTGGACACAGACAAAGAGAAAGAGGTGGTGGTGCTCCTCGACAGAGAGGTGGACACAGACAAGGAGAAAGAGGTGGTGGTGCTCCTCGACAGAGAGGTGGACACAGAAAAGGAGAAAGAGGTGGTGGTGCTCCTCGACAGAGAGGTGGACACAGACAAGGAGAAAGAGGTGGTGGTGCTCCCCGACAGAGAGGTGGACACAGACAAGGAGAAAGAGGTGGTGGTGCTCCCCGACAGAGAGGTGGACACAGACAAGGAGAAAGAGGTGGTGGTGCTCCCCGACAGAGAGGTGGACACAGAAAAGGAGAAAGAGGTGGTGGTGCTCCTCGACAGAGAGGTGGACACAGAAAAGGAGAAAGAGGTGGTGGTGCTCCTCGACAGAGAGGTGGACACAGACAAGGAGAAAGAGGTGGTGGTGCTCCTCGACAGAGAGGTGGACACAGACAAGGAGAAAGAGGTGGTGGTGCTCCCCGACAGAGAGGTGGACACAGACAAGGAGAAAGAGGTGGTGGTGCTCCCCGACAGAGAGGTGGACACAGACAAGGAGAAAGAGGTGGTGGTGCTCCTCGACAGAGAGGTGGACACAGAAAAGGAGAAAGAGGTGGTGGTGCTCCTCGACAGAGAGGTGGACACAGACAAGGAGAAAGAGGTGGTGGTGCTCTTCGACAGAGAGGTGGACACAGACAAGGAGAAAGAGGTGGTGGTGCTCCTCGACAGAGAGGTGGACACAGACAAGGAGAAAGAGGTGGTGGTGCTCCCCGACAGAGAGGTGGACACAGACAAGGAGAAAGAGGGGGTGGTGCTCCCCGACAGAGAGGTGGACACAGACAAGGAGAAAGAGGTGGTGGTGCTCCTCGACAGAGAGGTGGACACAGAAAAGGAGAAAGAGGTGGTGGTGCTCCTCGACAGAGAGGTGGACACAGACAAGGAGAAAGAGGTGGTGGTGCTCCTCGACAGAGAGGTGGACACAGACAAGGAGAAAGAGGTGGTGGTGCTCCTCGACAGAGAGGTGGACACAGACAAGGAGAAAGAGGTGGTGGTGCTCCTCGACAGAGAGGTGGACACAGACAAGGAGAAAGAGGTGGTGGTGCTCCTCGACAGAGAGGTGGACACAGACAAGGAGAAAGAGGTGGTGGTGCTCCTCGACAGAGAGGTGGACACAGACAAGGAGAAAGAGGTGGTGGTGCTCCTCGACAGAGAGGTGGACACAGACAAGGAGAAAGAGGTGGTGGTGCTCCCCGACAGAGAGGTGGACACAGACAAGGAGAAAGAGGTGGTGGTGCTGCTCCCCGACAGAGAGGTGGACACAGACAAGGAGAAAGAGGTGGTGGTGCTCCTCGACAGAGAGGTGGACACAGACAAGGAGAAAGAGGTGGTGGTGCTCCCCGACAGAGAGGTGGACACAGACAAGGAGAAAGAGGGGGTGGTGCTCCCCGACAGAGAGGTGGACACAGACAAGGAGAAAGAGGTGGTGGTGCTCCTCGACAGAGAGGTGGACACAGAAAAGGAGAAAGAGGTGGTGGTGCTCCTCGACAGAGAGGTGGACACAGACAAGGAGAAAGAGGTGGTGGTGCTCCTCGACAGAGAGGTGGACACAGACAAGGAGAAAGAGGTGGTGGTGCTCCTCGACAGAGAGGTGGACACAGACAAGGAGAAAGAGGTGGTGGTGCTCCTCGACAGAGAGGTGGACACAGACAAGGAGAAAGAGGTGGTGGTGCTCCTCGACAGAGAGGTGGACACAGACAAGGAGAAAGAGGTGGTGGTGCTCCTCGACAGAGAGGTGGACACAGACAAGGAGAAAGAGGTGGTGGTGCTCCTCGACAGAGAGGTGGACACAGACAAGGAGAAAGAGGTGGTGCTGCTCCCCGACAGAGAGGTGGACACAGACAAGGAGAAAGAGGTGGTGGTGCTCCCCGACAGAGAGGTGGACACAGACAAGGAGAAAGAGGTGGTGGTGCTCCTCGACAGAGAGGTGGACACAGACAAGGAGAAAGAGGTGGTGGTGCTCCTCGACAGAGAGGTGGACACAGACAAGGAGAAAGAGGTGGTGGTGCTCCTCGACAGAGAGGTGGACACAGACAAGGAGAAAGAGGTGGTGGTGCTCCTCGACAGAGAGGTGGACACAGACAAGGAGAAAGAGGTGGTGGTGCTCCCCGACAGAGAGGTGGACACAGACAAGGAGAAAGAGGTGGTGGTGCTGCTCCTCGACAGAGAGGTGGACACAGACAAAGAGAAAGAGGTGGTGGTGCTCCTCGACAGAGAGGTGGACACAGACAAGGAGAAAGAGGTGGTGGTGCTCCTCGACAGAGAGGTGGACACAGACAAAGAGAAAGAGGTGGTGGTGCTCCTCGACAGAGAGGTGGACACAGACAAGGAGAAAGAGGTGGTGGTGCTGCTCCTCGACAGAGAGGTGGACACAGACAAAGAGAAAGAGGTGGTGGTGCTCCTCGACAGAGAGGTGGACACAGACAAGGAGAAAGAGGTGGTGGTGCTCCTCAACAGAGAGGTGGACACAGACAAGGAGAAAGAGGTGGTGGTGCTCCTCGACAGAGAGGTGGACACAGACAAGGAGAAAGAGGTGGTGGTGCTCCTCGACAGAGAGGTGGACACAGACAAGGAGAAAGAGGTGGTGGTGCTCTTCGACAGAGAGGTGGACACAGACAAGGAGAAAGAGGTGGTGGTGCTCCTCGACAGAGAGGTGGACACAGACAAGGAGAAAGAGGTGGTGGTGCTCCTCGACAGAGATGTGGACACAGACAAGGAGAAAGAGGTGGTGGTGCTCCTCGACAGAGAGGTGGACACAGACAAGGAGAAAGAGGTGGTGGTGCTCCTCGACAGAGAGGTGGACACAGACAAGGAGAAAGAGGTGGTGGTGCTCCTCGACAGAGAGGTGGACACAGACAAGGAGAAAGAGGTGGTGGTGCTCTTCGACAGAGAGGTGGACACAGACAAGGAGAAAGAGGTGGTGGTGCTCCCCGACAGAGAGGTGGACACAGACAAGGAGAAAGAGGTGGTGGTGCTCCTCGACAGAGAGGTGGACACAGACAAGGAGAAAGAGGTGGTGGTGCTCCTCGACAGAGATGTGGACACAGACAAGGAGAAAGAGGTGGTGGTGCTCCTCGACAGAGAGGTGGACACAGACAAGGAGAAAGAGGTGGTGGTGCTCTTCGACAGAGAGGTGGACACAGACAAGGAGAAAGAGGTGGTGGTGCTCCCCGACAGAGAGGTGGACACAGACAAGGAGAAAGAGGTGGTGGTGCTGCTCCTCGACAGAGAGGTGGACACAGACAAAGAGAAAGAGGTGGTGGTGCTCCTCGACAGAGAGGTGGACACAGACAAGGAGAAAGAGGTGGTGGTGCTCCTCGACAGAGAGGTGGTCTTCAGAGAAATGTAGGCAGAAGACAATGCACCATCATCTCTAATGAAGTCCAGGCCATCATTGTTGACCATGTGGTTAACAGAGGCCTTACCATGGCTGAGGCTGCCAGGTTGGTACAGCCTAATTTACAAAGGTCAACTGTCAGCTCTATCATCAGAACTTTTCGCCAAGAAAACCGGTATGTCTGCTATAGCAACTTCACTTCTAAAATATAGTACTCTATTGTATAGATGAACAACATGTAATTGTCAGTTTACAGTAATGTAATTTGTAATACTTCAATATTGACAGTATATGATTGTCCTCAGAATTAACAGGAGACAACCTGGTGGTGGTCGCCCACGTGTTTTGACTGACCAGCAGGTGTTGGCTGTGGTGGAAATGGTCAGGGCAAGGAGAAAGAGGTGGTGGTGCTCCTGAAATCAAACAGGCTATTGAGAACAACAATGACACCTTTGCCAATGTGCCATCAATTAGCCTTCCAACGATTGCCCGGCTTTTGAAGAAGCACCAGGTTTCCATGAAACAAATTTA